GCAGGATTTATATGGGGGTTTCCGAAAATAGGGGACCCTAATATAGTACCCTAAATAGTAGGATCCTTATTATAAGGACCCCCAAATAAGGTACCCTAATTTTCGGAAACTCCCATATCATCAGCCGTATTCCGAAGCAAAGCAAAGGCCAGCCGACTCTTCAGATGTACTCCAGGCACAGTGGATGCCCCTTGCGGAAGGGATTTACAGGGTTGTTAAAAGGACTTTGAGGAGTTCTGAAAGTTGCTAGTTTTTTTTACATGGGTTTTCAGTGTTAAGGGTTTGTGAAGGGTTTTAAAGGTTTTTAAGCTTTTGAGGGTTTATAAGGGGGGTTTCAGGGCTTACGGTTTCAGGTCTTCGGGGTGTGGGGCTTGGTCAGCCCGCTCAACAAGCTCAGGGTTGTTTTTAGGGTTTAGGGTTTAGGGGATGAACCCTAATCCAAAGCTCTAAACCGTCAAGCCTGAATCGCTACAACTTCGAATTCCGTGGCACTCGAGCGGAGCCAAGCCCCGCTTAAGCTAATGTTCGCATGGTATAGGCCCGCGCCTCGTCTGTACGGTGTACGGGTGTAGTTTCGGGTGTAGGGTTTAGGGTTTAGGTGTAGAGTCTCCAGATCCAATCGTGGAGATTTCACGGAGGCTCAATATCTGGGTAGTTCTCTCAATTAAGGTCCCGTTACGGTCACAATAATGTACAGCACCCTTAGAAAAGGACCCCGAAAAGAGACCCTAATCCGAATTTAGAGAACTACTCATCACGTCCCCAGAGAACCCAGTACCCCTTAACTAAGGAATATACCTTAAACCATGATATTAAGGACCCTATGATTTAAGGTATATTCCTTAATTAAGGGGTATTGGGTTCTCTGGGTCCTTGGGCAGGTACCGCCTTGCCAAGCGGCTCTGACACCTCCTTCACCACCTGGGGAGCTGCTCGGAAGCATCTTTGTCAAAACGAGGCCACTTGTGGGTTAATGTAGGAACCTGATTAAGAAACCCTGGCCCTATAACATTCATGTAAAGAACACAAATAAGGACCCAGGGTTTCTTAATAAGAGTCCTACATTATTACTTATTACTGATTCGTACCATTTCTCACCCTCCTCACAGTAGTACAGATCAAGACTAACAGCGGTTGGTAAGGAATGTTAAGAAGACTACTGCTTGCAGTACGGTTCCAGCGATGGTGGTGACGATTGGCATCGTTGTCGTCGTCGCTGCCGCTGCCAACGCAGCGCTGATACCATTACAACTTGTGCTTGCCGGCGATGCGAATATCTAGAATAGTGAAAACCAGCTGCTTCACTAGCAAATCACTGGTGCTCTGACTTAAAATTGGTCATGAAGTCGCCAAGCGTAATGGTCGTGATGTTTCGTCACCTCGTGAAATCCGTAGTTCTCGGCTCCTCCTATGTTATGAGGCGCGGTAGTTGAAGGAATAGAAACCCTAAACCCTAAACCCTAAACCCTAAACCCTAAACCCTAAACCCTAAACCCTAAACCCTAAACCCCAAGCCCGGCCTCTGCCGCTGAAGGCTGTCGCTGCAGTCGAATGGATCGGCCAATCAGCGGTGCAGGAGATGAGGTTGTGCTTCGTCGGCGAGGCGGGGGAGTGTAGATGATGCCATCATGTTGGTAGTTGTCTAAGTTAGGGTCTCTTTTGAGGGTCCTTTTAGAAGGGTGACGTACTAGATTGGGGATTCAAAAAGGGACCCTAATTTTAGAGAACTGCCCATACTGTTGACGTCATGAGCTTCTGCGGGGAAGACTGAGCCCATTTGGTCAGTGTTCTATCGGCATCACCCTGTCTGAATGGTGTGAGGGCAAGACTGTCTGAACAGGTTCATGAGAACTAACTCACAAAATGGGGTAAGAGTGTCATAGCTTCAGGTTCTCAAACCAATACCCTAAACCCTAAATCCCCAAACCCACAGCACCCTAAACCGAAATCCACCAGCACCAACTCCTAAGTCTTTACTTAAGGGGTTGGGACGCAAGAGTTGCACATAACTACCCTAAACCTTAAACCCTAAACCCTAAACCCTAAACCCTAAACCCTAAACCCTAAACCAATCATCCTTTGCTTTCAAAAGGGCTCCCGGAACTCTGAGGATCCCTAGTACCTTACCCTTTTTGTACGTCCTTTGCGGTTTAGGGTTTAGGGTTTAGGGTTTAGGGTTTAGGGTTTAGGGTTTAGGGTTTAGGGCCTTAAGTCCTATACCTTGAAACCGAACATCGTAAGCCAAAGCGTTAAATCCCGTACATCCAAAACCTTAAACCCTAACCCTAAATCCGAAGGCCCCTGAACCCTAGACCCTGAAAGCCCTAAACCCCAAGACCCCGCATACTATGTAATGTTACAGAGTCTACCATAAACTAAACTATACTATACTAGACTATAACATATAATACTATACTATACTAGAGTATACTATACTCTCATACAACATAGCAATACATTTGGATATCGCATACCATAGTTTAATGTAGTACAATGGCCAATCCCTTAAACCAGACACCCAGAAACTCGAAACCTAAGAACTCCAAACCCTAAACCCAAAGACCCCCCCCCCTGACCTTGCCTTAAATCCCTCAAATCCGAACCTCCTACCCTAAAACCCTAATACCGCAAACCCCAAACCCTACCGTAAACCCCACACTAATACCCTAAACTCTACTACCCTAAGCCCGACTACCCCAGACCCTAAACCCTAATACCCTAAATGCTTATACCCTAAACCCTAAACCCTAAGCACTACTACCCTAAACCCAAATAACCTAAATCCTATTACCCTAAACCCCAAGCAGTACTACCCTAAACCCTGATACCCTAAATCCGAGTACCCTAAACCCTAATCCCAAGCATTACTACCCTAAACCCTGATACCCTAAATCCGAGTACCCTACACCCTAAACCCTAGTACCCTAAACCTCAAACCCTAGTACCCTAAACCCTAAACCCTAAACCCTAGTACCCTAAACACTAAACCCTAGACCCTAGTACCCTAGACCCTAGTACCCTAGACCCTAAACCCTAGTACCCGAGTACCCTAAACCTTGTACCCTAAACCCGAGTACCCAAAAGACCCACCCCCCCTCCCAAAAAAAGATACTATAGGTAATTATTTACGCCCCTACACTAACTCCTCTAGAGCTCTTTAAAAGGAACCCTTAGAGAAACTGCCCCCAAGACTCCCTAACCCTAATACCCTAAATCCTAGTACCCTAAACCCTAAACCCTAAACCCTAAACCCTAAACCCTAAACCTAAACCCTTGTACCCTAAACCCCCCAAGACCAAAGACCCCCTCCCCCCTTTTTGAGCGCGGCCGGAGGCCGACGACTCCGAGTCCTCCGAGCAGCCGGAGCCAGGTTGGCAGCGCAAAGACCTCTTCGAGGGCGAGCTTTGGCTTTTAGGGGGCACCTACAAAGTTATAGAATATATATATATATATATATTTATGTAAAACATATTATTATTATTATTAGTATTAGTATTAGTATTAGTATTAGTATTAGTATTATTGTTATTATATATATATATATATATTTAGGGGTTTAAACCCTCAACAAAACCCTAAAACACCTAGACCCTGAAACCCTAAATCCCCTACACCCTGAACCCTAAATTACTAAACCCTAAACCCTAAAGGGTTTAGGGGGGTTTAGGGGATTTAGGGTTTAAGGGTTCAGGGGTTTTAGGGTTTCGGGTTTACGAACCCTCGCGTTTCGTAGGGCTTCAGCAGGTTTGAGTTCTGTGGTCTTCGAGTCTGAAGAGGCAGATTGTCTGGCTTGAGAGACGCTTCCTCTAAGGGGTTCACGAGGGTGTTAGATAGGGTGTCAACGGAGTTTCAAAGGTTTTCTGAGTTTCTCTTTTGGGTTTTGGGTTCGAGTTTTGGTAAGCTCTGAAGTCTTGGTTGCAGCTCTTATCCCGGAAGTGAGCCACACCAAGGCCTTGCCGTCGAGTGAAATGTTGCTCACACACACACACACTCCAATAAACGCACATGCAATACTTATCGTAGCTGGATAGTCGCCCCTACCTGTGGCCCAAAAGGCCACCCTTTTTCAGGAATTCTACATAGAAACCATAGAAAGGAACCATAAACAGGTAGGTCTTTTCGGCTACAGGT